AACCTTTCACCTTTATGAATGTTCGTTCTGTGCAACTACACAAGAAACAAATAGTTATTAGTTACGGTATTTGGGAGTCAGGAGGACGCCCCCAGAAGTAGACAGTAGTCAGGTGGTGTATGTGCTGGAGGCACACAAAGACAGCCAGGTAGGCTGGGAGAACTGTTGAGGCTAGGAGCGCCACCAGTAAAGGAGGTACAAGTGTGGGACAGCACTAGAGAGAGGACCGGTGGGTCAGAAGTTGTAATGCTAAGTATGGAAGCCAGGAGCATAACCTTGTGTTGTTTTGCAAGTAGTGCATTGATGCTGTACTGAACAACTTCTGTGAGGGTATGCAAGATGCATGTGTGAACTTCTGTTTTAATAAAAGTGGGCTAACAAACCCTTAAACAGAGGTTAATGCCAGTAGACTGCATCCCTAAAACGCTCGCCATATGTGCTTATATCCCCCACACATCACTATATACACTATATTGCCAAAAGTATTGGGACATCTGCCTGTACACGCACATGAACTTTAATGGCATCCCAGTCTTAGTCCGTACGATTCAATATTGGCCCACCCTTTGCCCACAAGGTTTAGGGGTGTGTCTATGGGAATGTTTGACTATTCTTCCAGAAGTGCATTTGTGAGGTCAGGTACTGATATTGGGCGAGAAGGCCTGGCTTGCAGTCTCCGCTCTAATTCATCCCAAAGGTGTTCCGGGTTGAGGTCAGGACTCTGCGCAGGCCAGTCAAGTTCCTCCACCCCAAACTCACTCATCCATGTCTTTATGGTCCTTGCTTTGTGCACTGATGTGCAGCCATGTTGGAACAGGAAGGGGCCATCCCCAAACTGTTCCAACAAAGTTAAGAGCATGAAATTGTCCAAAATGTCTTGGTATGCTGATGCCTTAAGAGTTCCCTTCACTGGAACGAAAGAGGCCAAGCCCATTCCCTGAAAAACAACCCCACACCATAATCCCCCCTCCACCAAACTTTATACTTGGCACAATGCAGTCAGGCAAGTACTGTTCTCCTGGCAATCGCCAAACCCAGACAGAGAAGCGTGATTCGTCAATCCAGAGAATACGTCTCCACTTTTTTAGAGTCCAGTGGTGACATGCTTTACAACACTGCATCCGACGCTTTGCATTGCACTTGGTGATGTAAGGCTTGAATGCAGCTGCTCGGCCATGGAAAACCATTCCATGAAGCTCTCTACACACTGTTGTTGTGCCAATCTGAAGGCCACATAAAGTATGGAGGTCTGTAGCTATTGACTCTGCGACTTCTGTGCATTGTGAGTTTCAGCATGCGCTGACCCCACTCTGTACTTTTACGTGGCCTACCACTTTGTGGCTGAGTTGCTGTTCCCAGTTGCTTCCAATTTGTTATAATACCGCTAACAGTTGACCGTGAAATATTTCGTAGCAAGGACATGTCACGGAAATAGGGTTTTTGTCTAGTCTAGCTTGGAGCTGGAAAAAGTATGTGTACATGTCACTTCCTATTGTGGATATCTTATAGCAAGTGAAGGGAAATCTCCCCAAAGGGGCACAGATGGTAAAGAAAAAGCTGACAGGAAGTTATAAACCTCCCTTAGACCTCGTTTTGATGGGAGCCTGAGGGTTGGTAAAATCAGAGAGTTGATCAGTGGTTTTTATGGCTCCTCAGCCCCCTGCTGCTATCTTAGCATTGCAGCCTGACAATGTTGTATACTGTACATTGCTGCGCCTGCAATCCTTTGCTTTGCGGCTGGGTAAAAATTACACAGCATGTTACATTTGGCAGGCAGTGCCATCTGACAAATCTGAAACATGACCAACATGACCAAATGTTTAGAAAAAAAAAGAACAGATCTGGACACAATCTGTGCCTCCCTTACAGAAAAATAATTTAAAAAAAGGTTTAATGTCACTTTAAAGTAGTATTAAAGGCAGGGAATGTTTTACCTTGATGCATTCTCCGGATTAAAGTAAAAAGAAATGCCCTGTACCTTTCTGTGTGCCCTGTCACCCCCCCCCCCCCCAAACTTACCTGTCAGTGACACTTGTAATCGCTGCCGGTCCTAGAATCGATCCTCTGTCCTGAACTTCCTGACTGCTGGGGAGGAGAATGAGGTCAGAGGAGCCATGGGCTCCTTCTGCTGTCAATCAACCAAATAGGTGGAGAGGAGTGGCGTGGCCAGCCGCTGGGCTGTGTGTGATTCCATGTGTTAACCTTAGTGTGAGACAAGTTTATTTACATGCTAGCTTGTGAGTGTGCCAGGAAAACTTTTTGCTGTTTCCATGGACGCACATAGCCACGGCTTGGAACGAGTACGCATAGGTGCCTCCATAGCAGCAGTTAGCTGATGGAGGCAAGCTGGCAGGGGGAAAGTGCTGCAGGGACCCACTAGAGAACAAGGAATTGAAAGATAAAAAAAAAAAAAACACACAATCTCAATCCCACAGTGGTGCTGTCATGTCAACAAATAATAAAGAAAAAAAACACCTTGATTGGAGTCCATCTGTGGTAAATTTAAATTGCTTGGACATGATTTGGAAATGTGCACACCTCTCTATAGAAGGCCTCACAGCTGACAATGTATACCATATCAGAGCAAAAGCCATGAGGTTAAAGGGGCTCCCTGCAGAGCTCAGAGACAGGATTATTGCAAGGCACAGATCTGGGGAAGGCTACAAAAACATTTCTGCTGCATTGAAGGTTCCCAGGAGCACAGTGGCCTCCATAATTTTCAAAAGGAAGAAGTCTGGCACAATCAGGATTCTTCGAAAAGCTGGTCACTTGGCCAACTGTGAATTCGGGGGAGAAGGACCTCATCAAGAGAGGTGACCAAGAACCCTATGGCTGAGCTCCAGAGATCCTGTATGGAGATGGGACAAAGTTCCAGAAGGACAGCTATCACTGCAGCCCTCCACCAACCTGGCCTTTATGGCAGAGTGGCTAGGCAGAAGCCTCTCCTCAGGGCAAAACACATGAAAGCTTGGAGTTTGCAAAAATTCACCTGCAGGACTTTCAGACTGTGAGGAACAAGATTCACTGGTCTTATGAAACATAGCTAGAACTGTTTGGCCTCAATTCTAAATGATATGTCTGGAGGAAACCAGGCACTGCTCATCACCTACCCAATACCATCCCAAGAGTGAAGCACTGTGGTGGTAGCACCACACTGTGGGGGTGTTTTTCAGCAGCAGGGACTGGGGGACTGTCAGGGTTGAGGGAAAGTTGAATGGATCAAAGTTCAGAGAGATTCTCAATGAAACCTGTTCCACAGCGCTCAGGCCCGTCTTTAATACTGATCGGACCCTGGGCAAACATTTTCTTGGGCCAATCGCTCAGGACCTCAGACTGGGCCAAAGGTTCACCTTCCAACATGACAATGATCCTAAGCACACAGCAAAGACAACACAGGAGTGGCTTAGGGACAACTCTGTGAATGTCCTAGAGTGGCCCAGGCAGAGCCCTGATTTAAACCCTATTGAACATCTTTAGAGAGACCTGAAAATGGCTGTCCACCGATGGTCCCCATCCAACCTGACTGACTGAGGATTTGCCAAGAAGGATGGCAGAAAATCCGCCAATCCAGGTGTGCAAAGCTTGTCACGTCATACCCAATGACTTAAGGCTGTAATTGCTGCCAAAGGAGCTTCAACTAAGTGCTGAGTAAAGGGTCTGAATACTTAAGTACATGTGACATTTCAGTTTTTTTCTTTTTAATAAATTCACATTGATTTCTAACAGGTGCAGAACTACCGCCGGTGCAGCAAATGCGGCTGCACCGGGGCCTGAGCCTGGGGGGGCCTAGCAGGCCCAGGCACTAGACCAGTGGCAAGGCAGAACAATCCCCTGTGTGATAGCAATTGGAGGTGACAGGTTCTCTTTATTTACCCTGTCACCTCCAATACAGGAGTTCTAGCACAGCACAGCACTGTGCTGGAACTCCTGTGACAGGTGAGAGAGGAAGAGCACAGCTCTCCCCTCTCACTGTGTACAGTCTACACGGAGCAGCAAGGTTACTTTTAACCCTGCCGCTCTGCTCACTGCATTCATAGACTCGGGACTCGGCGGCGGAGGACAGAACCAAAGGAGAGAGGTAAGTGCAGGGGGAAGGGGGAGAAGGCTGCACACTGTTTACATGTGAAATCGGTGACATTGCCGATTTCACATGCAAACAAAAAAATCGTCTGCCTCACTCTACATTCAGCCCTGCTTGTACAAAGCAGGACTGAATGTAGAGAGGGCAACTTCCCCACAAGGACAACGCTGCCGCTCCTCTGCGCCCTGCCGCCCCGAGGCCGGGCCTCGGTGACCTTGTGGGGAATCCGGGCCTGCAGCCCACAGTGAGATCAGAACGAGGCAGAGCAGTTTGCAAGCACACGTTGAGGCAGCGCTGGGGCCCCCCAAAAAAATCTTGCACCAGGGCCCATTGTTCCATAGGTCCGCCACTGATTTCTAAAATTCTGTTTTCGCTTTGTCATTATGAAGTACCATGTTTAGATTAATGGAGAAAAAATAATGTAAACAACTGTAGTATCTGGCTGCAACATAACAAAATTGAAAAAGTGAAGGGGGTCTGAATACTTTCTGGATGCACGGAATACGAGTTTAGAAAACCATTATAAATACATATAAACGCATCTAATCACATCTAGTGTGAATGTAGCATTCGGATTCCTGCAGCAGCAATCTCTAATCACACCTAAAGTAAAGGTGTGAATGTATCCTTACTGTATACAAAACTAAAAAAAAAGTTTTGTCTCCAGCTCTACTTTCACTATTCCAGAAAAATAGAAACCAATTTTTATCCAAATTACATTTTCCAGTGCAGTTTATTAACTGATTTCTTCATAATTTTCAGATCCCATAAATAAGCCCCAATAACTTTTCCAACTGAAAAGACCAAGCAAAGTTCACATCTGTATTTTGGAATAAAATGTTGATAAAGTTATTTAAAAAAAAAAAAGCCTGGCTGCCCTCACGCTGTACGTTCAATAAAGTTCTTGGGACCTCCCCTTCTTGACTGATCATGGGGAAGAGCCGGTCTCGAAGGTTTAAGCCGGTGGTGTATGCTCCTACCGCAGCTGTCAAACAGGAGACAGATCCCGAAGATCCGGCGGAGGGGGAGTCACTACATGCCGAAGACCTTCTGCACAAAGTGAGATCAGTGTGAATGGTCTTCCTGTGTGACATGTCAGCAGAGTGCTGCTTCCATGAGTGTGTCCCGACAGATCGTAGAGAGGACACTGTCCGGGATGGGGGCAAGAATGTCACTGCTGCTGTGTTTATATGAGTAATTGTTCGGTACATGTTGTGCATATCGTAGAGATCGGTGCATAAACGCCAAGGAACAACTACACGTGATTGCTTTGTAATCACTGGTGACTGTTGAATAAAGTTTGATTGAGGAAAAAAAAAAAAGGGGCGTGATTCCAGCAAATAGGTGGAGTGGGGGAATCTGTGTTGATCAAATCTGGAGCAGACAGAATCTAGAGCAGTTGTATAGTAACCAATCAGCTTCTCTCTTTCATTTTGAAAGTGTAACTGAACAAGCTGAAGATAGCAGCTGACTGGTTACTATGGGTAACTGTTCCAGATTCTGTCTGCTCCAATTGAGGGGAATTTATCAAAACTGGAGCAGCTATGCACTAACCAATCAGCTTCCTTCTGCAGTTTGCTGTCCAGAGAAATCTTAATTTTTACACACACATGATAAAAATCTGAATTTTGGCAGGAAAACCTCTTAAAACCCCACAAACAATTATATATTTTCTGAAAGCAGAGGCCTTATAGAATTCTCAAAAATGCTAGTTTACATTTTTTTGATGTCACGTGATATTTGTGCAAATGTTTATCAAATCCCATATTTTTAGGCTACAATACAGTAAAATGAAATGTAGTACAGAGAAACCGAACATAATACCCATTTTTTGGTAAAATATAAAAGATGGGGTCATGTCGGGTAAATAGACACCAAACATGTGAAGCCTTAAAATTGTGCGCGCCTGTGAAATTGCAAAAAATGACATTACCCAGAAGTAGCAAGGGGACGCTTTGAAAGCTTTTACCGCTCGTCAGTTTAGTGTTACCAGTGATTGATGGCTGTAGAATCATTGCTCATATTGACACACAGGGAGCTCCGCACATCATAATGGCAGCCGAAGCCCCCAGTGTGTCCCCACACCAAATCCTTCAGCTGCCATTGTGATGTGTGGGGCTCCTGGGGTGTCCCTGTGCCTTTAAGAAGGTTGGGCTACTTCCTGGTGATCCTGCACCCAATTCATCCTTTGTTATCTATGCTCCAAGATGGAGGCTCTCGTAGATTAGAGTTAGTACCGCAGTACACAGAGGGACCTTGAGGCGGCAGTGCGACTATCGCTTATTTTGCAAAAGTTGTGCAACTAAAACCTCTGTTTTTAACTTCAATAGTAGGGATGCACCGATACCGATTTTTCAGGATCAGGTACCGATATATTTTTTCCCGGTACTCGCCGATACAGGCATCCCGGGGTACCGCGGGGCTGGCTTATCAGGTAACTGGGCCGCGGATCATGATCCGGCTTCCTGATTGCCTGGGAAGCTGGTGTTCTATCGAAAGGACTCTGGCTTCATGTACTGAGGCAGCCTGACTTTCTAACCAATCAGGAAGGTGGGCGGCGGGTCATGATGTGCCACCCGGCTTCCTGATTGGTCAGGGAGCCAGGCTGCTTAGCAACAAGTGAAGCGCTCTTCCTAGCCAATCAGGAAACCTGGAGGCGGGTCTTGACCTCGCTTCCTGATTGGCCAGGACACCAGCTCCATGCTCCCTCGGAAGTTCCCGTGTCAGGATAAATATCTGAGCATTTGGGCGAGTACGAGTACTCGCCCCAAATACTCTGTATTGGCACCGATACCAGTAATGGTGCATCCCTAACCTAATAATAGTTAGTGAGGGGAATTTATCAAAACTGGAGCAGTTGTCCATGATGACCAATCAGCTTCTCTCTTCACTTTGTTCAGTTAAGATTTAAAAATGAAAGAGAGAAGCTGATTGGTTGCCATGTACAGTTGCTCCAGATTTTGTCTGCTCCAATTTTGATAATTCCCCGGAGTGTATTTTTGCAGGGTCTCTTTTTGTATAGTTCAAAGATTCTGATATGTTTATTTCCATTTTCAATGTGTAAATCTGATTTCTGTGTTTTCCCTCAGTTGCAGAGCCCCTGTCCGGAGGTCAGGGAATTTGCTTGTGCCAACATCTCCAAGCTTGTCCAGCAAAGACAAGTCATCCCTTCTTTTCTACAGAAAGATGCAGTTAGATGCCTTGGACCATTGTTACTTGATAAATGTATGGCGGTGCGTGAAACAGCAGCTGGGGCCCTACGGTAAGCACACTGCTTCACTAGATTTCACTTTGAAGGCATTTTAATCAAAACTGCTATTTTTATTTTGCTGAAAAATGTTGTAACTTTGCATGTTTTTATGTCTCCTTGTTTTCTGTTTCTTGAAGGAACTTAAGCACATGTGGAGGCTTTGAAGTATGTGATGACATGGTGACCAGAGATATCATGACCCCGTTAGTGGCTCTATTAAGAGAGGTTTGTAACTTGACATTGAACCTGACTTATTAGAAAACATTTTTCCCTTCCTTTGATTTATTGCTGAGTATGTCACCTTGTTAAAAGAGAACTATGGGGTAAGTGTTTTTCCTCATAGTTCTCTTTATGGTCATGGGAGGACATATATTAACCTTCTCCCGTGACCCAAAGCTCAGTATATTGCGGGCTATTACAGATCCTGACAATACTGTCCAGACCCACCCTGCTGCATAAGTGACAGCTGGCTCTGCCTGTCTAGAGGCGGAGCCAGCTGTGCCCGCACCAGCGCATCGGTGCATGTTTCTGCTCACTTCCCGATCGACAAAAAAAGCTGTCACAGGTCGGCTCTGAGGTCGGATGAGCGGAAATCACACACCTCATAGTTCTCCTTTAAAGAGACAAGGTCTGCAGATTTGGAGTAAGATTGGTGCCTAAAAGGCCATACCTTGAAGTGAAAAAATATGTTTAGAACCAAAAGCTGTCTCTATATGATTCTAGATGTAATGTTGGTGCAATAATGTGCTTTAGAAATTCAGCTCCTCCACTGTTATTTTACATCTGTGTGCCTGAGCTCCACTCTGCAACATCCTGGGAAGTCAGGATATCCCAGTAGACTTCTATGGAACCAGCTTCTTCACTATAGGGATCAGGGATCAGTACAATGCGGGGTATTGGGAGTGCAGCAGCGAAGCCAGATATTTTAAAGCAGGTTATTCCTTGAATTGATGGAAGTAAGCGTAAGTTAAACGATAGACACGAGAAGATGCTTCTTGAAGATCGTCTTTAACCCCTTCATGACTGAGCTAGTTTTTAGTTTCTGTTCCTAAATGACTGACACACTTTTTACATTTTTGCTGTGTGATTCTTCCACAGCAGCAAGTTTTGATTATTATTATTATTTTTAGAATTTTTTAAATAATAATTATAGTATACAAATATATTTATATATAAACGTTTTATTTTCCTAATTTTTTGTACACTTTTTCATTTTTTTTTTTTACACTTTGTAAAAAAAATAAGTGTAAAAAAAAATTTTTTTTTTTTTGTCAGTTTATATCAAGCAATCACTATGACTGCTTAATAAATTAACTTTTTAAAATTTTTAGTTATTATCAGGCTGCTCCAAGCTTAGGAACAGCTAATAATAACTTTAGAGACTGATCCTGACAGCATGTCAGAATCAGATCTCACTAAAGGTCTTTGATCGTTCCTAGACGATCAAAACTGATACATTTCACTCAATAGATACATTTTGTATCTAGTGGTTGAAATGTATCATTTAACATCGGGCTCTCCAGCTGTCAAAACGAATAGCAGAGAGGTGAGTCACTGCTACCTCTCTGCTATCTTCAGCTGTCAGATACGGGATCGCTATTTAGCGAACCCGTCTCTGAATGTAAAGGCTTCATTCTTTCATTAATGAAAGAAAGAAGCTTTTAAAAAAGCTTAACTATTTCATTAATGAATATCTCAATAGTGAGGCATTAATTAATGACTGGAACTGCTGAGAATCAGCAGTTACCAGCATTACAGAGGCTAATATAACTCGGCACGTACAGTGTCGAAGTTACGTGCAAAACTCAAACTTTTTTGTAAAGGTTGACCCTGGCCTTGCCCTTTCCATCTCTTTATTGAACTTTTTGAGGTGGGGTGAGTTTGAATTTCCATGGTTTGGGACCCGTCATGAAAAATTATAAGCTGCCATTGCTCTCCTTATGGACATGCTAGTAGCCAAGAGGCTGACTATTTTGCCTGAATATTTTCAGACACAAAACCCAAACAGGTATGTAGACACGACCTTATGACTTGACTAATCTTCATACTTCTGGGTTAGTGACTTGGAAGGCATTAAAGACGGCATAAAAGGCAACTAGCATTCCCAGAATCAGTTCAGTAGCAAGTGTTGTATAAGGCCAGGTGCACACTTAGGCGATCCGTGACCGTGCGGCAATCGTGCAAGATACCGTGCAGATTGCCGTGTGGTCACGAAGTCGCCCTCCACTGCCGATCTCGCTGGCGGTGCCATTTTCTAATAATGCCTAAAACGGCAGCACATGTATTCCAGAATCCTGCTGCACTCCTTACCGGGTATGACTGTCAGCGTGGGCGCTCGAAATGACCGCGGATGGCGCCGCCAATACTGAAACTTTTTAAAGATGTCACCAGGACACCATATTGAAGTGAAGAACACGTCTGTTAATTGTGACTTCATGTCAAAACAAATAACGTTTTAGGGCCACACAGGGTCCCCTTTATCTTTGTCATTTCAAGCCTAATGAAGGGGAAACGTTATTTGTTTTGCCATGAAGCATCAATAAACAGACGTGTTCTTCACTTCGATATGGTGTACTGGTGACATCTAAAATAGCTGTACGTTGTGTATTGCAAAAAAGGTACACGTACCTTTTTTTTCTTGCGATCGCCACTCAGATGTAACCTTATGGAAATGAGTTGAGCTGCACGGCAATCGCTGTTTGCAATTGTGCACGATTGCGCAGTCCTAGGGCACGCTTTCCGCATCGCCCAGGTCTGCACTGGCCCTAAAGTAGATTTTCAGAAACAAGTCTACTAAACCGCTTTGTAATGTTAACAAGGTAGTCCTTGCAGTCTGAAGTATAAATTGGAGGTGGATGGCAAATGTGATTGCTGCTTCCTTGGAAATATATTGATCTTGCCCACAGTTTGAATGACTTCTTGACTGGTACGTTTCGTTGTTGTTGTTGTTTGTTTGTTTTTTTAACTCATGCTTTTAATCTATTTTTCTTTCTTTATTCCCTTGCATTTTTAGTGTGAATAGATTTGAAATCTTCAGACTGAAATAAGAAACTAATAACTTCTCTCGTGTTATTTCTTTCCCTGATACAGTGTTCCCCTGGTTTAGATTCTAACCTGGAGCCATCAATGAACGGCAAAGACTTACCAAAGAACTATGCTGAAGATATTGCAAACCAGGCTATTAATGTTCTGTGGAATATGTGGTAAGTTTGATTGTTTTATTTTTATTCCGTCCTGTAGTGGACGTATATAGGCGTATTAAGTTTTTTACACAGAAATATACAGAAGAAAAATGTTTTGGGTGTTAGAGGGGTAACCGTCCCCTGCTCAGTTATAATCATTGGCTTTAAAGTGGACCTTTTACTCCCATTCACTAAAAACCCCATCAGCATGCAGCTCGACATGCTGATTTGAAATCATATTAATTAGTTAAACATGTATTACATTTACATACAAATAGAGTTTATCTACTTCTTGGTCCATATTGGCGCAAACTATGTAATGTTGCATCCTGGGAAGGTTACATCAGCAGTGCGTTGCTAGGAAATTTCCTCCTGTAATCTCATGAGATCTCAGGAAAAAGCATTTCCTCCCCTGATATGATTTACATGGTCACATGTCCTGGTCACATGTGGACTTTCGAACAAAATTAGTTGATGGCAAGATCGAGTGCTCCAAGGAACTATTTCAAATGAATGTTCGGAAGAAGTTCCAACAGTGTATGGCGTGCTTAAAGAAGAACTACTGGTAAATCAAAAGCATAACTGTGCTCATTTTGTCTAGGGGGCTCAAAGTAGTTTTACTCAGCTGATCCTCTGTGCCATGGCGGTCAGCACTCTCCTCTCTCCCCCTTCGCTCCAGCTGTAGAAATATCCCTCGGCGTCCTCGTGTCTAATCCCAGACAGTGGACCTGCATAAGACGTGATGCCAGTGGTCCATAGACCGCCAGGGCCTGGGGAGGAGAGACTGCAGGGACCGGTCTAGTAGGCCTGAGGGGGCTGGCGGTACCGAGGATCTTGTAAGTAATTTTGCTTCATTTTGAGTCCCTTTAGACAAAACAAGCACTTAACCCTTGTAGTGCGGGGATAGCCACAATGCAATGGTAATGGTCTTTATGTTCCCGGAGTTCTTTAAGTGTTTTAAGAAAAACAGCCTATAAATATTTGTTGAAATAAACTTGTTCATTTTGAAGATAAGAACATTATTATTTGCTTGCATTGAGCTCTTTGATATCATACAGTAACTAAATGATTTTTCATTCTTGCATCCCCACAGTGAAAGCAATAGTAAAGCCCTATCCGTCTTTAACAAGGAAAACTGTGTGGATATTGTTATCCAGTGCCTAAACAAGTTCCCAACAAACCTGGAGCTAGCAATTTCTGCAGGTAGCATCCTTTTTGTTTTCTGTTTTTAGAGTTGTTAAATTCTCTTCTGAAAAGGAAAAAATCTACAGCGTTTTGCTTTTGTATCCCCAGCCTACTGTCTGCAGACAGTCACTGAAGATAATTCCGATTTGTTGGCCTCTTTGGATGCTGCCTACCTGCAGACACTGGAATCTGTGCTTGGAAATACTGCAACTACAATGGAGATGCAACTTTTAAAAACGTTGGTTGCAGGTAAAAGCCACAGAAGACCATTTCATAATCTAACCGCTACTTGATTATGTTTCGCCCTTTCGCTGCCAAGGCCGTTTTGTCACTTGCACACATGTTCTTATCCACATTTTAGGCCCTAAAATTACTTCAAACCCCCCTAAAGATTATATGTTTTCTGAAAGCCAAGACCTTGTAGAAAAAAATGGTGGCAGTTGCCAATTTTTATGCTGCAGGACATGCGCACAACTCTTTATTAAAACCACAAATTTATGAAAAAATGCACTTATGTAATTTTAGTGCCCCAAAAATATGCGTTTACAACTAGTAAATAGATGCCCGGGTTAAAAATTGTACGCGTCCGTGAAATGGCGACCAAATTCAGTACCCCAAAAAGTCGAACGTATATATTGACCCTAGGATTATTTCTCTCACTCTGGCGTGCACGATAATGCCCAACATGTGCAGCGGATCATCGTTTTTGTACATAGGCGCACCCGACGTGTGTTTATGTGAATTCGTGGGGGGCTTGACCTTTTTTTAACTTAAATTGCTATCACATAGGGAGGCTTACAAGCCCCTATGTGATAGCATATTAGCCGTGACGGGTCCTCTTTTTAACGTGACACTAGGGGTCCAAAAGACCCTTTGTTTCACTGTTCACTCTAAATAACCTATTGGAGTGCAGATTGCACTTCAATAGCTTATTGCTCGGCTTCAGGAGCTCGGGGACACAAGGCGGGGGGGGCGGCCACTTTAACGGCCAGTGGAAGCGATCTTCCAGCAGCCGGCTTTACAAATGTAGACAGTCAAATGTAAACGGGCCAGCTGCCACCGACGTAATCCTGATGTCTGTGACACGAAAGGGTTACAATGGCTTATCTGACACGCAGGGGCTTTATATGAATTGGAGAAAATCTAATCGCTGTGGTTAAAGTGTATTCCCACTTTTGCAGTCAAATGTCAGAAAGCCCCTCTGTATGTTTGTTATGTGTACCTGTACACACAGCATACTAAAAAATAATTTAGAAATGTCTTCCCTTTTTTTGATGTTTTGTTAAAAAAGAGACCCTGTTACATAATACATTTTTAAATAAAAAAAACAAAAAACATAACTGCAAAATAGAGTGTATAGACTTGATTTTTCTGTTATCCACACTGGTCATTGCTGCTTCTTTTCTAGAAAAATGGTCTTCCAAAGTCTACTGGGAACACTTCCTGGGGTGTTCCTACAGGTGTCTATTTCCACAGCTCTCACGGTTTCTTCCCTTCAGACTTCGCATAACTGTATACTGTACTGCTTTACTGTTTATTAATGGGTTAGGGGCAGGGACGTCACATAGCTGTGTTGCTTGATTGCAGTAATGCGAAGTCCGGGTTACAGGTCGGCTCAGTAGATCGGGAAGTGAGCGAACACACGGGCAGAGAGCCTCCCCGCTCCGATCCTCCAGCGCTGACTGGCGGAACGGACAGGGGAGGGGGTGGGTACAGCTGGCTAGGCCTCTAGATAGGCAGAGCCAGCTGTCACTCACGCAGCTGGGCGGATCCAGACATAATTGTCGGGATCCGCTTCAGCTGCGTCATTTCAGTATACCGTGAGCTGTAGCTCGCGGTATACTGAGCTTAGGGTGACGGGAAGACGCTAGTTTGTGTCCTCCCGTTACCCTAAGGAGAACTATGGGGAAAAGCCCTTACCCCATAGTTCTCCTTTTTTAATGTATTTTCAGGTGCAAGCTTTTGAAAACTTTCTTTAGGCTTGGTTTTCATAGAACTGTAAAATCATATTCTATATAGACAAGTGCAGTGGATTAAAAAAACAAACCACAAGTTGATTTAAATGGAGATCAAACAAGGAAATGTAAATGCAGAGATACATACAGGTCATCGGGGCAAGGAGGGTATGTATGAGTCTGAGCAATAAAGAGGAGCTGTAAAAATAAGCACATTTGTTCATGGCAGTTTCTCCTTTTATCTGTTATCTCTCTAGGAGCCAAAATGTAAGCTACATGAGAATATATCAGCTTAGCTAGCGTCACAGCTGCATATTAAGCTTGTGTCTATTAGCGCCATGATGTAGAGTGTTGAATTTCTGCCTAAATTTATATTCCCATTCTGTTGTATCCCCTCCTGAAAAGTGACCCTCAGATCCATGATTTTTGTGTCAGTTCTACAAAAGTTTTCTGCCATGGGAAGTTCCATTCTGCTGGTAATAAATCAATAGAAGTTCCTCCACTGACAGTTTGCCCTTTGCCACCCACATGAAGACCTGTGATGGGACATTTTAAATAAGGAAAAGGGGGGTGAACAAAGCCAAATAATTTTTACAATCTTCAGGTGCTATCATTCCTAAACATGTTCTAACTATTGAGAAGAAACCGGGGACTTTGGATAAAGCACTAAATAAAGATTCATTGCAAGAAAATTTGTATTTTTTTATTTTTACAAACAAAAACACATTTTATCATTTCAAGATATTAAAATTCAAAATTGATTCTAAAACATATAGATATAAAATATGTACTGTAGTTGTTCATAACGTTCAGAATATTACATTTAATATTCCCTTAGAAGGGTGACATGTTTTGTGGATATATTTCTGTAGCACCTAGACAAAAACAAGCGCTTAAGTGCCTGTTCACACGACGTCCGTTTTCTGTGCTGACCTGATCCGTACGCTGCTGCACTCAAAATGCATCCCAATGTATCCCTATGTGTTTTATGGGCTACAGTTCTCACGTGCTCAGTCCGTTCAGGTTACGACAGAAAAATACTGCATGTCACATTTTGTACGGTCAGAAACCGCAAACGCATCAAAAACGCGGCCAAAAAGCGCTGCATCAGTAGCACCATGTCTGCAGATCCGGACCTGATCAGGACCTGAAACTCATGTGAACAGGCCCTTAATCTTGCAGTGTGGGGGTAGAACAATTCTGCCTGGAGTTCTGCTTTAATGTGTTTTGG